CGTCCGGCCGAATTTATAATACCTAAACAATCTGGATTGTCGTCTTTTTTTTGCCCCTTAATATTTGTGTTTGCAATTGGGGCCTAAAAATCATTACACCCCCCCCCCCCCCCCCCCCCCCAAACAAAAATCGACTAGTTCGACTGACTGATACACTCACCGAACGACTTTATATGGTAAGTAAAAATCATCCATTTTCGGGTCCGGTTTCACATTCACGCTAATGGGTAACTATTCAAAAGGGATCTACACGTAACATGTGTATACTCGAACACTGCATGTATGACTATAAAACGCTAGTAGACATGGATTAGGACCACACATGAAACCACGTGGGAGCTTCTTAAGGTTAAAACGGTCGCCGATGATTGAATTACTTGATCTATTTTTCTATATTTATATTTCGAGTTTTTTTTTATAGGTAAAGATATGTGCGTGTTTTGTGTTCTGCTATCCACCCGCCGACTCCGAGGCCGTATATACACGTAGATAAGTCAGAGTAGGTATGTATGTTGCTTATAGAAGCTCATTCGCCTTCTTCATATATCTCGGCGTAGCCGTCTTTAGAAACGTCGTCGCGGCGTGTTGCGGGACGTATGGGCCGGTATCGGTGTCGGTATCGGACATTAACGGTGTCGTGATGGAGGAGGAGGCCGAGGAACGTCTTCTTAGAAATCGCGAGAGGTGTGATTTAATACTCATGTTTTTGTTGTTGTTGGTGGTGGTATAGCAGGTTTGCATATGCTCTGCTTCTTCGCCACGAGACGTTATTGTGAGGCCGCGCATTGCGTGTGTGCGTGTGTTATAAGAGGCGATGTAGGTAAATCTTGTAATGGAAGAGGGGTAATTGCTGGCTTGACCGTATGCGCCTCGGTTTAGTGCGATAGTAAGGGGATGGATTAAAAAATATTTGAGAAGTGATGTGCCGTAGTGAAATGACCTATGCTGGTCTAGATGTAATATGATGTTTTGAACTATAAGATTGTCTTTGAAATGTGTTGTGTTGATGGCTTGTTTTGTTATCCTTCTTCCAGTTGAAGAACTATGCCTCGACCTCGAGTAGATAAATATGAGATTTTCGAACAAAGAAGGAAAGATATGAGAACTATCATCACAGTCAGTCAAACAAACAAAGACATTAGAACAAAGTCCTTGTCTGTCTATCTATCTATCCAAGTAAAAAGAGCAAAGAACAAACATACTTACCTTTGTCACATTCTTTCTCTTCATCCCGTACTTCATCTTTTTCAGCTAGTACAAATCACCCATTGTTTTAGACATTCAGTCATTCACCCGCGCCGATAGATGAAATAAGACAAGACAACAACGGGAGACAAAGATAACATCTCTTTATTTAAACGCCTTGATTGAATAGATTGTCACTGTCACCCCTAGGTTAGATTAGCCGGGCCTATCTATCTTGTTAACCTACCATCATTTTTTTCGATCCCCCGCGCCTCGACTGAGACAAAAAAGGGAATAGGGGAAACAAAGTCCATCACATACATACAAATATGAAGATCGCGATGACAGAGAGAGAAAAAATTAGAGGCGGTGATTACAATCTCCGAGCGCGTCTAACTATCTACCCGCCATGATATTCTTACGTGCGGATACTAGGTAGGTACTAACAAATCTAAAGCCAAGTCCTATGCTATGTTCTTTTTTTTTTTTGCGGCTCGGTTCGGCCCAGCCTTGTGGCGTTTCTAGCGTACTGGTGATCTCAGTAAGGGGAGAAAAAAAATTAAATGTCATTTTTTCTCCCTAACGCCATAATGACGTAGAAAAGAAAAAAGAAGGCTTTGCTTGATATCATCGCGATCTGTTCTGTTTCCGTGATCGACGTAAGACTTGGATGCCGCGCGTCTAAGAGTAGACATGAAACAAAAAAGAATAGGTAGGTAGGCCAGGGGAAAACAAAACATCTCGAGAAGCGGTAAGGATGTTGGTTATTAGTAAGGAAATGATATATCCTTTTCACTACCTACCTACTTACCCAACGTTATACTGTGTATACTCGTATCAATGCACCATGATCGCGATGACTAACCTCTCACACCCACTACGTATGTGGCGTGTATATGACGCGGGAAAAAATCACCCTCAGTTCGTGCTTACGCGAGTAACGTATGATGTTACGCGCGTAAGGAAACGAGGGAAGAGAACCGACCATACGAGTAGAAAAAAAAGAGAACGGGATAGGGAAAAAAAAAGAACGTACAACACCAGGGATTCGCTGGTCGTCACCGACCCAACTACTGATCTGGCGGTATGTAGCTTAGCTATGGGGGAGCGGACGGGACCCCGCGTTCTCTACATCCTATGGTCGTACGTGCTATTCTGTTGATCAATTACGGTATATAAAGGAAAAGGTTTAGAAAGCAGAGGAGGGAGATATCTCTTGTCATCTTCCCCCTAGGTTGGGGCCTACTCGGGGCTTTGGAATGCGATAGTAACCCAACTTTGTCAGATTCTGTGCGTCTATTTCAACCTAGCTTGGCTTAAGATACGAGACGGAGCCACATTCAGAAGAGAAAAGTTGGGCAATCAAACCATTCTGGACACTCTTACAATTGTATCTAACTCCTTATTGTCTTTTTTTAACAAAATATATCGTCTTGCTGTAGTTTACAATGTACAATGAAGAAGTTAAGGCTCATATGTACGCAAATAACTTGTCATGTCAATATCACATGATCTGGCCTCGTGGCCCAATGGCAAGGCGTCTGACTACGATTGTGATAAAAAGCCACGTAATCAGGAGATTCTGGGTTCGACCCCCAGCGAGGTCAAATTTTTGCATTTTTGGACAGACGTTAGTCGACAATAGGTTAACTTCTTTTTCTTTCTTAGTCAATTGATTGAGTCCATTTTTTCGCGTGGTGTTTATGTAGGAGGGTGTGAAGGGGTGAGGGCAGGTGTTAAATTTTTGGTGGTCAGCAAACGTTCCCCTACCTACCCTGCCACTTTTTCTTTCTATCTACTAGGTAAGTTGAACTTCAAGTCCTGATCTGATGGTGCATTCGATCTGACTCTGGCCGACTGTTGTTTTACGTAGCTTCGTATTTGATGACACTTGTAGACTTACAAGCTAACAGGTAGGCAGGTATAAGGTTGAAAGTCGAAAGTCGAAAGTTGTAGTTTTACCTACTTACCCACCATCTTACTTTTATAGAAAGTGCATAACCACCTCGTCATCATGTCTTTCTTCTTTAGCCTAGTCAGAGTTAAAGCGACTCCCGTCGATCAGAGTTATTTAGGTAGTCAGTTAGCAGTGTCGGCGTGGCTATATACAAATGAGTGATAATAAGATGCAATCTTCAGAGCAGGCATGGCAGGTTGACATAGATCAAGGGACGATGGCAACGGAGCAGTGCTGCAAAGCTATTTTGCGTCTTGCTTTCAGACTATACTATGCTGTCTCTCTCTCTCCCAAAGATGGTATAAAAGGGGCAACAAGGACTTAACTTAGAAGTGAGACTACCTAACCTGAATACTCCATTACCCTATCTAACAGATAGACAAAGGTTGCCAAAGTAAAAGTAACGTAGTCTATATATCATTAACATTACGAGAAGAAAGGGTTAAGATAATACTCTGGTAAAATAACAACCAGCAGATAGCAAAACCTCCTGTCCTGCTCTTCCCTGAAACCCATTCGTACCTAACCTACGAACTCAGATCTAGGCAAGGTGTCTCTCCCAAGTACCTAGTGACACACACACACACACACACACACACACACAACGCCATATATGATATGAGTAGCCAGATAGGTAGATCCCACAAAGTGCGATAACCCTAGACTAAACTAGACAAATAAATATACGTGTATAAACACCGCAACCCTCGGGTTAGTTTCTAAGTAAGGTAAGTAAGTAAGTATGGAAGAAGCAATGGGAAATAACCAACTCACCAGACAGACAAAGCACATCGCCGACTCCTACACAACAACGCAAACACCAACACCACACCTTCTTAGGTAGGTAGGTAGGTAGGTAGGTAGTTAAAAAAGAGAGTCGAAAATTTACTAGGTTAGTTCTTTCTACCTTATCGATTAATTAGAAGAACCATACGTTTTATACAACAGGCGTTGTATTCCGGAATGGTAGACGGACCGGCTAACTCCTTAAACTCGTCCCTTTCTTCTTCTTACCCCGGGACATCCGTTATCCAAACAAGTCTCTCAAAACCAACTAACCCAACACTATAACTTGTATAGTTCTCCATACACTTATACACTACCTACTATTACACAGAGTTATAGAAAACAGCTCAATGTTCTGTTCCTGTGAGGATTACCTATCCTGCTAATAGCGGGTATCGTATCCAGTATCATATAAACATGATGGGAGTGCAAAAGCCACACTTGTGGGAGGCACAAGTGAGAGGTTGGCACCGCCATTCATCAGAAAGCCATATAACCGCCATATAGTAGCCCGAGTAAAAGCCTCAAGCTAGAGAAAAGTTTATCGGCCGTAAGGGTGAAATTTGAAGCAGCTGTAGAGTTTGTTTTATTGTATCTACCAATTTGCATTTTTGTTCGCACCGACATAGTTACATTAAGCAAGTATATTGACAGCAGGCAGCTTGATGCGAATAATATGGTTCGGAGTATTAATACATCGCATTAAATCGTTGAATGGTGCAAATTACATGGCCTGCAACGCTACATCTAAGCCCCCGCGGACATGAGTCCTTCCACAAGGCAGCGGTATCCTTCAAAGTAACGACCTTCAGCCCTCCTCGTCACTCTCAGAATCGGGCTCGTCATCTTCTTGTGTGATGTACGGGACAAAGCGAAAGTCCAAGAAACTAACAGTCCCGCCCTCCATCTCCACCATGAACTGAAGACTCAAAACCCCTTGGCCATCGCCGCGGAAACTGACTTTGCTAGCTATACGCATTGCCTCGCTCGCAGATTTCACCAAATCAAACTTGAAAGTCTGAACCCAGGGCTCCATGACGGAAAAGGTCTCGAGAAGCTCGCGACCATTGGAGAAGTCAACGCTGGCACTGCCAATAGCGCCAGTGCTTGAAAGTTTGAGGTACGGCGCATTTTGCATGGCAAAAACGGTGATCCGGGCAGGTGACATGGGGGCGAGTTCGGAGAGGCTGTCTAGGAGCCAGCGGGCCTGCATTATCATCTTGAAATGAAGATCGTTTCGATCAAAAGGGATATCATCGGGGGCTTCGGGCGTGTAAGTAACCATATTACATTGCGTTTTTACACCCGATTCCTCCAGGATGACGTTCAGAGCCGACCCAGGTTCTTCGTAAACCAGGCAACATGTACCAGGCATGCCCAAGGTCTGATGACTAAAAGCATCTGGGCGATAGTTTCGTACATTGCTACGAAACGGGTCGTTGTCGGTCTTGGCTGCCCTGGCTGCGGCATCTGTGGCACCGAATATCTGCAGCGCTTCCAGTAAAGCCGGGAGATTCATCTGGAACCGTGGCATTGTTTCAGCATCAGAGGGCCAGGCAAGATTATAGGTAGTGAAGAGTGTTTTGTCGAGGAATGCGACGCCTAAGGGTCGGTTAGTAACTTGGTCCTAGCACAACACATCGCTTTTGGCCAGTACTAACCTTGCATGACACGGGAATGGTCGGCTGCAAACCGAATCCCTTCGTGCGTGAGCTGAACCTCTACCTTGGGCGAGAAGCTGATGCATTTGAGAAGTTGATAGATCTGTCTGGTCGAACTTGCGACTGCTCGGAAGAGGGGTTGTTGCGGCGGGGCAGAACCGGCCGAAGAAGCCATGGCGAGTCGGTTAACGGATCGATTCTCGATGGCGGGGAGGTATGTGGCAGTATGTTCGAGTTCTATTCTTCCCTGGCTCGAACAACTCGACGGTATAAAGTCAAGGATTGCCGGTCACTCAAAAGAAAAGGGAAAAGTTGGCGCAAAGGTTGGTAACTTTTATGCACGCCTCAAATATCTATTGTACACAGGGACGCTCTTCCTGGTCCATCTGTCGCTTTCGGGGGTATCTTCTTTTCCTACACGTAAACTCCGACGGCACAGAACATGTATACCGTTCCAAGGCTATTGACGGGTTAGGTACAAGTGACGAAAGGAAACTCAGTTTCATCAACTGCACGGACAGGAACGTACGCTAATGCGGATGAGGCTGGAATTCCAAGTAAAGCGACGTTGGCGAAGGACCGGTCTGTAATTAGAGCGCGTCAGCCTTGCTACCCAAATGCGATTGCAGGGACAAGCCAAAGCTGGCTCGATGAATACATACTGAAGGCGAATGTGCCTGACAGGGCCAATCCGATGAGTAGTAGAATAAACGCAACTAAGAACTGGCTCCCTTTTCCTACTGCGGGTTGGAACGGGCTGCCAGAAGCAGTCTGCCAGATCTCGTGCAGTGAGGAATCCATGGACAAGTGTAGTCTGGTAATCGGTTGACTGGAGCTTCACGGGGTCGTCGACCTCGTATCGTATCGGAGCGGAATAAAATGGAAGGATTCACGCAGATAGGAGGACGTTCTTTTTCCGGGAACCTAGAGTCTCTTCACTTTTCTCTGCGATTTAATTGACTTCGCAGCTAGGAAATACGACATGTGGTGATGAAGCAGAGCTGCGAAATGGATTGTTTGCTTCGGCAATCAAGCTCGAAGACGTGCAACTTGCAACGGTGGCTCTTACTGCTGGCTGTATGCGGTTAAGTCCTGCCAAGCAAATCGGTGGGGCTTGTTTCTCCGTCATTCAATTAGGTCATTAGGTAACCTCTCCACATTACCAGGCTACCTTGCCATATCTTCAATGTACGACGCGAATCGGGATTCTTCGACAGTTATGCGACTTTGCGTCGGTAATCGACATCATGGCTAAAGACGAGAGTATGTTTAGCTACGCCCCCTCTCAGTCCATGTTCCATTTCTCACATAAATGCGTCTCTTGGAATAGATGGAAAACGAAAGGCGAGCGACGACCCCGCCTCGCCAACCGTGTCAAAACGGGCCAAACTCGAGAACGATTCGACCGAACCAGAAACGAAGCCCGTCATGAAGCCGATTCCTTTCCCTGAGAAGGTAGACTCACCATCCGATTCTATGGTACACCGTTTGGGAAGAGCGCTAGTTGCCGCACCCAATAACACGCCACATGCCGCTGCGAGTGCAACGGGTAAAAGTGCTGCTCAAGAGAGTACAGCGATAACTTACACCATTATTTCGCCACATACTTCCCAACCCTTGGAGACTTTAGAGTTCGACTGCGCAAATTGTCGCCGACGACGTGGCAACAATTCGTTGACTCTCGCTAACACAGACGTATTACAGCCCGCCGTGATCGAAGAACGAACCGGCGAAATCGAATTCCGCGTAGTGAACAACGACAACGAGAGGGAATCCTTAATCGTACTGACCGGTCTAAAGTGTATCTTCCAAAAGCAACTACCCAAGATGCCCAAGGATTACATAGCGCGGCTTGTCTACGACCGGACCCATATCTCAATAGCCATCGTCAAGAAGCCATTGCAAGTGGTCGGCGGCATTACATATAGGCCATTCAAGGGCCGGCAGTTTGCCGAGATTGTCTTTTGTGCTATTAGTAGCGACCAGCAAGTTAAAGGTTATGGCGCGCATCTAATGTCTCATTTAAAGGATTACGTCAAGGCTTCAAGCGACGTCATGCATTTCCTAACCTATGCCGACAACTATGCAATTGGTTACTTTAAAAAGCAGGGGTTTGCGAAAGAGATCACGTTACCGCCGTCAGTGTGGATGGGCTACATCAAGGATTACGAAGGGGGCACGATAATGCAATGCTCGATGCTGC